ACAGAATCCGCAGCAAATAATAGCTCTCTACCAGGAAGCAAGAGACTTCTGGAAATCCCCATACTCCATGCTTACAGGCCTATGACGGAGCAGACAGCTTCACTTCAGTTTTTGATTCTGTAAAGGAGGCAGGGGTGGGGGTGGGGCATAGTAATACCTATCAAAAAGTTCCACGTGCTAATGTATGTGAAAGTGCTTGGAAAGTAGATGTAAGGGATTACAGTGGTCAGAAGCCCCAGACATGCTTGTCAGCCTCATATCCCTCCATCACTGTGGGAGAAGACTTCTCTTAGCCATCAGCCTGGTCTTTCTTTTTTCCCTTTTGGTAAAAGGTTTATTTATTTATTTATTTTTAAGCAATCTCTCCACCTAACACGGGGCTCAAACTCATGCCCCTGGGATCCAGAGTTGCATGCTCTCCCGACTGAGCCAGCCAGGCATACCCCTCCCCCCATCTTGGTCTTTCTGAATGCAGAATAGAGATAGTGGAGTGAGGGGGACCATCAAGGGCTGGGGCCCCAGCAGGTAAGTTGGAATCCCAGTTCCACCAATTATAGTTACCAGCTCTGACTGTTAGCAATTTTCTTCAACTCTTTGAGGCTTAGTTTCCTCCTCTGTGTGATCTGAAGAAAAATACTTATGCCCAGTCGATGTCCTGAGAATTAAATCAAATACACAGCCGTACAAATCACATAGCAGTCCTGTTAACAGAAACTTCCTCTTTCCTCCTGTTGTCTTTTCCTTTTTTTTTTATTTTTAATTTTTTTTTTTTTTTTTTTACGATAGTCATACAGAGAGAGAGAAAGGCAGAGACACACACAGGCAGAGGGAGAAGCAGGCTCCATGCACTGGGAGCCCGACGTGGGATTCGATCCCGGGTCTCCAGGATCACGCCCTGAGCCAAAGGCAGGCGCCAAACCACTGCGCCACCCAGGGATCCCCCTGTTGTCTTTTCCTGTTTGGAAATCACAGAGGAAAATCCAGTTTCCTGGGGCCTGTTAACTGCCGAGAATACATCTTAATAGGCTCTCAAAGTCACAGACCCAAGGGCTAGAAGTCCTCACACAGTTCCATCTGGTCCACTGCTTGCAAATTGGTGGCCCTAAGCTAGATCCAGCCCTTTGGAATGCTTTGTTTGACTCTCTCAGGGTTGGAACAACAGGAAATTAGTTGCCAACATTAAAGTTAGGGGATGTCGGGCAGCGGTTTAGCACTGCCTTCAGCCCAGGGCCTGATCCTGGAGACTTGGGATCCAGTTCCACATCGGGCTCCCTGCATGGAGCCTGCTTCTCCCTCTGCCTGTGTCTCTGCATCTCTCTCTCTCATGAATAAATAAAATCTTAAAAAAAAAAATTAGGGGATATCATATAAAAGTTTGGTTTTCCACCTTCCCTGAAAGTTTGGCAGACCTGGAAGGCAAGTCTGTGTTCACATTCTGGTGCGACCTCTCCTATCAACTCAGCTGGAGCTGTGTGGTCAGTGGCTGCCCTTGTTACATGAGACATTTGATTTTGTGATCATTGCTTTCCTTTCATTCATTCAAAGAGTATTCAACAGTGGGACTGGGGGAGGATGATGGGCAGTCTAAAGGGTGCAGAGCTTTAGTTGAGGAAGATGAAAAAGTCCTGGAGAGGGACGGTGGTAATGGCTGCCTAATAACATGAATGCACTTAAGGCCACAGAACTGTAGACTTAGGAGTGGTTAAAATGGTAAATTTTACAGTATGCATATTTTATCACAACAAATTTTTGTTAAAGATTTTAATTATTTATTAGAGAGAGAAGGAGAACAAGAGTAGGGGGAGGGAAAGAGAGATAAGCAGACTCCCTGCAGAGCAGGGACCACCCCACTCTCATGTGGGGCTCCATCCCAGGACCCTGAGATCATGACCTGAGCCAAAATCAAGAGTTGGACATTAAACAGACTGAGTCACCCAGGCACCCCTCAATATTTTTAATAAAAGATTCAATACTAAGGGTTTACCAGGCCCAAGGCACTCTGCTGGTTGCTAAGTAAGGAGCCAGCTAAGACATGGTCACCACTCAACCCTGCCAAAAAGCACTAAACAACAATTTCATAATTATTACACTTATACCAGTGCTTGCAAGGGAGAGGAAGCACACAGTACTGGGAGATCCTACCTTATTAAAGGAGCCTTGTTTCAACTGAGGAGCTTGAGAGGAGGGGTCATGTGCAGAGGATAGCCAAGCAACAAGATCCAGACACACAAATCCTGCCGAGACGTATGGCAGGGTGCTCCCTCACCTCCCTTGCCTCTGAAGCACCTGCCTCCAGACTTCTTTCAGGTAAGAAATCAGCAGTCTCAGTTAAGCCTCTATTATGTTGAATTTTCTTTCACTGGTAGCAGAGCCCAGTGCTCCTTGTTACACACTTCCCAGGGAAGTCTTTCTTGATCTTCTAGTTGAAATAAGGCTCTCTATAATAAGATCCCCAGCCCTCTGGACTTCTCTTTTGTAGCACATGACTAATTGTGATGGTATTAATTGTTCAGTGTCGATGACACAAGCTGGAGTTGTGACCATGTCTGGCTTACTTATTACATCCCCAGCACCCACAGAGAGTGACTTGGGTCTGGAAGACACTTGCATAGGGGCACCTGGCTGGCTCAGTCAGTAGAACCTGCGACTCTTGATCTCGGGGTTATGGGTCTGAGCCTGACATTGGTTGTAGAAATTACTTAAAAATAAAATCTTAAAAAAAAAAAAAAGCCATCCTTGGTGGCTCAGTGGTTTGGTGCCTGCCTTTGGCCCAGGGCGCGATCCTGGAGTCCCAGGATCAAGTTCCGCATCGGGCTCCCAGCACGGAGCCTGCTTCTCCCTCCTCCTGTGTCTCTGCCTCTCTCTCTCTCTCTCTATGTCTATCATAAATAAATAAATAAATAAATAAATAAATAAATAAATAAATAAATCTTTTAAAAAAGTAAAATAAAATCTTAAAAAAAAAAATCCAACTTGTTGAATATATGAATGAATGGGCAGACTGGATTAGATCAGAGGTTAGATACTTAAATGCCCATTAGGATCTGCAAGGTAATGCAAACAAGAAAAGCAGCCTGGCTATAAATAAGCCTGCAGGAAGGAGATATAGCCTGCGGAGGACACATAACCATCCTGTAGGGACAGTCCTTAGAGGTTGCACAGAACACTTGCACTTACATCCTTTAACCACAATTAAGTCATTTAACTATATCCAGTTGTAAGGGAGACTGGGATTCAGTATACATTAAATCTGGGCAGCCATGAGCTCAGCTAAAAAGGGAGGGTTCTATTATAAAGGAAGAAAATAGAACTTTTGGGGACAACCAAAAGTTTGTGCAGAGAAATAGAGAAGATCTGAAGAATGAACAAAAATGTCCTAGATCAGTGGCTCTAACAGTGTGACCCGCAGTATGTGTGTGTGTGTGTGGGGGGGTGGTTCCTGAGACCCTTTCAGGGAGATCTTGAGGTCAAGCTACTTGCATAAAAATAATAAGACATTATTGGCTTTTGTCACTATGTTGACATTGCAATGATGTTGCAAAAGCAATCTGGGTTAGACTGCTGCCTTAGCATAAATCAAGGCAGCAGAGCCAAACTGCGCTGTAGTCATTTTGTTCTTCAACTGCCAGCACTTGCAGTAAAAAAAGAATAAAAATATTAATGCCACTTTCACTTAAGAATGCCTTTGATGAAGCAGTAAATATTAATGTTATTAAATCTCAAACCTTGAGTACACTGTGCTATAAAATGAGAAGTAGCATGACTGCCTTTCTGCTGCAAATGAATCACAATGTTGTCTCAAATAGAAACACCTGCATTAATTGTTGGTAGTTGCAAGCTCAACTAGCCACTTTTTTCATAGCAGGGAAAGATTATGGTCACATGGGCACATTTATTTTTTTTTAAATCTTTTTTTTTTTTAAGATTTTATTTATTCATGAGAGACAGAGAGAGAGAGGCAGAGACACAGGCAGAGGGAGAAGCAGACTCCATGCACCGGGAGCCAGACGTGGGATTCGATCCTGGGTCTCCAGGATCACGCCCTGGGCCAAAGGCAGGCGCTAAACCGCTGCGCCACCCAGGGATCCCCACATGGGCACATTTAAATGAGCACTTGGGCTGCTGGTGCAGGATAGCCTAGAGGACAACAGAATGGGGAGGCCAGGAGACCAGTGAGGAGGCAGGGGCTGTTGCCCAGGCACAGGATGGAGATGGCATTTGGGGTTAGAATGGATGGAACAGTGGTAGTTGGGCAGAGTGACTCGGATAGACATCTAAGAGAGTTTGAAGGTAACATCCACAGGAAATGGCGAATAAACACATGCAAGGAGTTGGGTGAAGGAGTCAGAGATTACACCCAGTTTATTTGGCATGAGCAGCTGGGAGGTGCCAAAGCCTTCGCTAAGTGGGGGACTTGTACAAGTAGGTCTGGAGGGTAGCGGTAAGCAGATGATAAGTGTAGTTTGGGGCATGTTGGGTTTGCTATGTGTGGTGAACATCCAAAAGGAGATGTCGGATGAGCAGATGGATCTACATTACACATCTGGAGCTCAAGAGAGACATGGGCTGGAGAAACACTTGAGGCCTGGCCAGACAGGAAGGTCCAGAGGAAAAGGGTCTGGTCCATGGTCACTCTGGGGGTCAGTCCTCAGGTCTCAGGTAACTGCCCAGACCCTCTCTGCCACACGGGGCCAGCTGGAATGCCTTTGGTGCCTCCTTGCTGAACAAATGCCCTCAGGACTCTGGAGCAAGGGATGTTTGGGGCTTACCACGAGTGTCCTCATGTGCCCTCTACTTCCTTTCTACTTCTTCCACTGAAATCCAGACCAGCTTGCAAGTATCACTGAGGCCATCTTTTTTTTCTTGTTACACAACAAGAAGTGCTGTGACACTCTATTCTCCAGCCTGGTTCTGCTCAACTTTTTCCTTTGACTTTGGCATTTTCACTTTGACATCTTCCCCAAGAGGCAGGGGGTGGGCACCCCAGCCCCAAATGGTGACACTGGGGGCTGGCCCAGGCCTGGGGTGTGGAGGAGCCTTACCGCCGGGCTTCCTGTCTCTTCGTTTACATACATCTCTGCAGAAGTAACAAGCGTTCTTCCCAGTGGGCTCCTAGCCTTCACATAGACACACCTGCGTGAGAAGCAGAGGGGAGGAAAGACACAGGCCCGGAGGTAAGATGGACAGACTCAGCTTCATTCCTTTCCATGGGTCTGGGAAGGGGAGGAGAACGCGGCAGCAGATGTGGTGAAATGTTCTGGACTCCCAGTTTTCTGCCCACAATTCTGGCCACCTTGTCTTGTATTTCACACTGGATCTGTGAGTTTCAAGAGGCTGGGGATTTTTTTTTTTTTTTTTTTGAGGCTGGGGATTATGGAAAATTTCTCTCTGCATCCCCCTGTGCATATCCCTTTAGTGCTTGGAGCAGACGGTGCTCCTCAGAGCGGCGTTGAGCTGGATTATAAGATCAGAGAAGGCACAGAGACTTTAGGCCATCTTGGGCTGAGAAAGGCCATGGGAGGCAACTAGTCAAGGGGCAGTGGAGGAGATGAAGATAGGAAGAGGGGAAAGAGGGAGAAAAGACGGAAGAAAGGGTAGGAAATGAATAGAAAGAATAAATACACATTAAGGAGAAAGGATGCCTATAAAAAAATGAAAAAGGGAAACAAAGGAAAAGCAATAAAATGAGAAAGAAGTGAAATCTAGTCTAGAAGCAATTCTCCTCAAATCAATTTTCCCAGTGACGCAATTGCCAGAAATTTATACCAGAAATCATACTTGTTTGCAGTATTTCAAAAGCCCTATGGTTGAGGTAGCCTCCTTTAACTATCTTTTCTGTTAACACGTATTTCTACCTTTTTTTTTTTTTTACTTTTGGGCATTTTTTGTGATTTTTGAATAATATGTCTAAGGACCCGTTTTAATGAGCTTTAAAATGATTAACGCAATTCTCAAAAAGGGTTGAAACTGAGCTCTTAGGTATGCAATACTATACAAGTGATAGATACATATTCTTTAGGTAAATATGTCATTAGAAAAAGGGATTCTAAGGCATTAGTTTTAGATGTCTCAGCTGTTCTAGAAAAGGAGGCTAGGTGGTTTAGAAAAGGATTTGCAGGCCCGTCTTGGGCTTGGTGGGATGTAGGGGATCCAGGAGGTGGTACCCCTCAAGATGGGACACCCTGTACAACTCTAACCTCCCACCTCCAGGCTTTTTGTCCTTTCCCCTTTCCTAAGATCTCCGTGGCTTTGCTGTGCTACCCCACAGGTGTCCTCTGCCTTCCCTTCTAGACATATTCTGGGAGAAGGACCTTCTTGGTACCGGCGGATTCTTCAAAATAGAAAGGCCCCATTATTGCTAATTCAAACATTTCCCTTTGGGTGGAATAGCTCTTCCTGAAAGTCCCGTTGTTGGACAAAATTTTAGGGGCATAAGGCTAAGAGTAGAACCTGATGAGGGAGGTGACTCCGTTTCATATTTTGACAAATAATTTCTTGGGCTGTGTTAGAGTCTGTGGGCTCACACAAAATGGCCGCCCTCTTAACCTCAGATGGAAGACTTCCCAGAGGTCAGGGTCAAAGAGAACACCCAATAAGATTTTGGTCTTTCAGTTAGGGGACACGTATACAAAAGAGTTCTACCTTGAAATAAGAATTCCCCCTCATCAACTGGTTCTAGGCAGAAGACTTGTAGCATCTTAGGCCTTGATCCTGGCCATAATGGTGACATGGGGAGTTCAGCAGACCAAGGGCCTTGCACATTTTGGACACTCAGTAAATGTTAAATAAAATAAATTTGAGGAGGGTGGGCAATGGAAGGGGGCAGATGGGGGCCTGAGTTTGGAGGGCTCTTTGGTTGAGCTCTGTTCCACACCTTTTGGGGGATTTAGGGTAAGGAAGGAGGGCATGGCTCCCCCACCCACGTGGGCGTCTGAGGCAAAGGAGAGGATGGCGGAGGTTGTAGCCACTGAACCACAAGGGTCCCTTAGAGGGTCATGGTCTCTAGGAAGTTTAAATGAAGCCAATGAGCAGTAGAGAGGGTGTATGTGGTGGGGGGGCACATCCCGTGGCGAGGCTTGAGGGGCTGCCTGGGGGCTCTGGGGAGAAGATGAAAGTGTCTATGGGACCACAGACTGTTGCTGTGGTGGGGCTGTGCCCTCTTCCTCTCCCCAGTCTCGCTCCTCATCCCACCTGGGAGGCCAGGGCCAGGGCAACAGGAACCTCAAAAGCTCTGAGAGTTTGCCAGTGTGTTGCCATTTTGCTCTTATAGTTCTCTCATTCTCTTTTGAGCTCTCTTGTGGTCTCTTGCTCTGGGGCTGTGTCTTGCCTCTCAGAATGTCTTCACCTCTTTCTCTCTGACTATCCGGTTTGTACTACCCTGGGCTTGGCGTGGGGTCAGGGCTCGTGTGTAGTGTAGCTGTGACTTTAATGAGCTGCTCTGGGTCTCTCCGGCCCATCCTTCCTCATCCTCCTTTGGGGCCTCTGTCTGTTTCTTGGAATCTGTCCTTTTCCCTTGGTCCACCCTGCGGACATCTTCCTTGCACCCACCTTCGGCTCCAGGCTGTGCTCTGCAGGCTCCCTTCACATCAAAGCTTGTTGAAAGCTAGCATTCCTGCCAGAAGCCTGGAAGCCTATTTACTGGCAAGAAGGGGCTAGAGCTTAGTGGCAGCTGGAGGTGGAGACGAAAGAGAGGGAGAGGCCAGGGGCACTCTAGGCAAGATCGACAGAGCCAGAATTGGGTCCTGGCATGTGGGACCAAGAGGAAGAGAGCTACAGATGTGGGGAGTTGAAGACAGGATACAGAAATGCCCAGATGTGAGCAGAGAAATAAGAAGAGAGAGAGAATGAGAGAGAGAGCGAGAGAGTGATGCCAGGACCTGGGGGACCAGCAAGCCCTCCCAGCCTCTCTCAAGGGGCTATGGTGTACAGGATGCTACTGTACTGGGGCACAGTGCCTCTGGGGAGGATGAGGATGTGGGAATCAAAAGCCTGCTCTCTGGGGCGGCAGCGGAAGCCCAAGTCACCAAAGCAAGCAGCAGATGGAAACCCATAGCCTCCTCCACCTAGCTGAGCCCTGGGTAAGTTGGGGCACTACAAGGAGCTGGAGGTGGGGAAGTAGCCCTCTGGCGCAGACCACAGGATCATGGCGTGAAGAAGAAGGAAATGACCACCATTTGGGGAAGGGTCAAGAATGTTCCTAGCCTTCTCCAGGCATTCATGCTGAATTTGGACACCAGGGAAGGGATATTCCAAATGGAGACTCCTTTAATCTCTGCTCACTAAGAACACAGTGAGTTGTGATAGGGGGACAGTGGAAGCCACTCTCAGATGGAAGAGTGGCTGTACCGTAGTCTCTCCCCTCCCCATGCCCCATGCTAACTGGTAAACAACTACACCCATGACTAGCCTCTTTCCTCCTCTTCTGGAGACCTCATGATTTCTTCACTTCCTATTTCCCTTGTTTAGAAAACAATTCTATCAGGGGCGTCTGACGGACTCAGTCGGAAGATCATGCAACTGGTGATCTCAGGGTCATGAGTTCAAGCCTCACTTTGGGTGTAGAGATTACTCAAAAAATAAATAAACAACAACAAAAAATTCTGTCAAGCCTCTGCCTTGAGTTAGGCCCTGGGACATTCTTCCTTCAGGCAGATGGAATGAGTGGAGTTGGCTTTTTTGTCTTGTTTTAAATCTTCCGGCAAATCTCATTAGGAGGCGAATGTCCCCAGCACCCATCTGAGTACGACAGCCCTATCATGGATCAGTACCCAACAGGAAACAGAAACTGCCTCGGATGGTTCAAGAGACTGCAGAAACGGCGTTATTCCCAGGGGTGTGAAGAGGGAACCAGAACATGGAGGCACACAGATGTTACCAATAGCAGGCAGGGTCCTGAAGGGGCAAGGGTGGAATGATGTTTCTGGAACCCAGTGAGGGTTTGAGCTGAGCCACCTGAAAGGAGCTACAGTCAGGGTGTGGAGAGAAGAAGGGGTGAGGGAAGGAGTATAGCTATTGCTAGAAAGCATGCCAGACGAGGAAGAGAGTTAGGAAAAATGCTCCCACTTCTTTCCCTGCCCCTCCCACCTCTTGTGGGTTCTTTCCACTGGCCAACCCCAACTAGTAGCAGGAGGGCAAGGGAGCCTGGGTGGTACAGTCTGCCCAAGTCAATCTCCTTATAGAGAGCAGGGCAGAGAGGTAGGAGAATGGCCCAGGGATGGGGCGGTGGGGGAGAGGTGGTGGTGATGAGGGGGCACAAGAACAAGCAGCATGGATGGGGATGACTTGGCTTCATTCAGGCCAGGGTTGGCTGCGTACACATACTTCAATGACCCACTTTATTATTTTTTAAACAATTTTATTTATTTATTCATGAGAGACAGGCAGAGGGAGAAGTAGGCTCCCTGTGGGGAGCCTAATGCAGGACTCTATCCCAGGACCCCGGGATCACGCCCTGAACAGAAGGCAGACACTCAACCAGTTAGCCACCCAGGTGTCCCTCAATGACCCACTTTAGTAACAGATTTAATATGTTGAGTACAGAAAGAAATCAGTGATTTTTCCTCCTTCATTCAATTCAATTTTCGTTTAACTTAACCAAACATTCCAAATCCCCTCTCTACGCTCCAGCTGGTGCCAGGCCTACACTGGTGGCAGAACTGGCTGGGCCATCATCTTCATTCTGAATGAGATCAGGCTTCAGGGCTGGGGGCGAAGATGGGAGGGAACCCAAATCACCACATCATGAGACAGAAGGTGGGTTGTGCCCTCAGGGCATCAACAGGGTGTTGTAGGAGTGGGCAGGTAGCTGCAGAGCTCAGACAACAAAGACTGGGCTAGGGGATAGAAAAACAAGGTTGGATGCAGGACCTCATCTTGCCAAGCTCTAGAGGATTTCATGCTGCCCCCCGCCCCTAAATTCTCTCCACCCCCCAGCCTCAACCACCTCCGGAGCTCACAGAAACTGACTCTGAAATAGCATTTTTCTGCTCTCCCTCAGAGGCTTTACAGGGTTGGTCTGAGAGCAAGCAGGGAGTTTACCTACTGCTCCGTCTCTTCCTCACCCCACACAGTGTGGCCCTCCCCAAGTCCTGGGAATCTGCCTCAAACCTGCCCTCGAGGCAGTCTGTTTTTCTACACTTCCATCATTCTGAGTTGTCTGAGCTCAGGCCTATCTTCTCTCACCAGGATCATTTCAATCATACCTCCTGCGCTCAGCCTCTTCTAGCTTGTCTTTCACACAACAGCTGAAGGGGTCCATTCTGCAAATCAAATCATGTACTTCTCGACATAAAGTCCTTGAGTGGCTCCGTAGTGCCTAGGGTCACAGCTCGGTATCATAGCATGGCATTCAAGGACCTTCATGACCTGGCCACGCCCCATCCCCCCCCACCCCTTCTCAGTCTCCACCAATTTGCCACCTTCTTTCTGAATCTTTTTTTAAATTTAATTTAATTTAATTTAATTTATTTATTCATGACACAGGCAGAGACATAGGCAGAGGGAGCAGCAGGCTTCCTGATGCAGGACTGAATCCCAGACCCCGGGATCACCACCTAAGCCAAAGGCAGACACTCAACCCCTGAGCCACCCAGGCATCCCTGTGAATCCTTTTCTGATTCCACTTAGATGGCCTGGGCACAGCATTGTGTGGTGTGTCCTGGTGGATGTCTGCTTAGAAGTATGCACATTTAGGTCCCTGGCTTGGCTGTATGGGTGAGATTGCATACCATCCCCATATGTCCCTTTGCACCCCAGGCTCAGTAAATGCCTACTAACTAATGATCAGTATCTCCCTTAGGCCCTGCGCTTTGTACGGTGTGGGGGGAAGGCCCAGGTCCCTGCCTGCCTCAGGGAAGCCACAATGAATCGAGAAGTGGCTTTTAGGCACCTGCTCCTGATGCTGCAATTGGGTGAGTGTGCAGATTTGGAGATCCAGTGGGAGGAGGGCCTGCCTGGTAAATGCCAGGGTGGGGAGATGGGGTGGAGGCAGGGCAGCGACAGCCTTGAGGCCTGATTTCCTTCTTTTCTACCTAGTGATGCTTTCAGCGGTCACTCCTGTAAGAGAAGTGGTGTTGGGGAAGGCAGGAGATGCAGTGGAGCTGCCCTGCCAAACTTCCCAGAAGAAGAACATATACTTCAACTGGAGAGATTCTTCCATGGTCAAGATTCTGGGAAATCAGGGCTCCTTCTGGACTGTAGGTAGGGCGGCCCAGCTCCCATGCAGGGAGGAAACCACCATGAACTGAGCATCCCTGGTGTCAGAGCTCTGCTCTTGGTAAACTCTGAGATCCCAGAGGGCTCTGGTTGACAGACTCAGGTGCACTCTCCCAGTCCAGAGTTTCCCTGTGCTAACTGCAGGTGGCCTGGGGAATGGCATTTGGTGTCTATTATAATTTCAGAATTTTAATATTCATGGACTTAGTTTAATAGATATTAGAAAAATAACTATCATATAAAACCTGTGATTTCATGAATATTATTGCGATAGACCCATGTTGATACATTTTTACTTACCAAGAAACAGAGAGAAGATAAAATATGAATATCAAGAATGAAGATATTTCTATAAAATATCTTCTTTATATTACTATAAAGACATTAAAAGGATAATATGCAAATATATCTGCAAGCCAATAAATTTAACAATTTATATAAAATGGAAAAATTCCTTGAAAATCACAATTTACAATTTACCAACTGACACAAGAAGAAACAGAAAATTTTTGAATAGCTCTTTCTACTAAAGAAATTGAACTTGGGGCATCTGGGTGGCTCCGTGGTTGAGCATCTGTCTTTGGCTCAGGTCATGATCCTGGGATCTTGGGACCATTTCTGCGTCAGGCTCCCCACAAGGAGCCTGCTTCCCCCTCTGCCTGTGTCTCTGCCTGTCTGTGTGTCTCTCATGAATAAATAAATAAAATCTTAAATAAATAAATAAATAAAATCTTTAAAAAAATAGAAACATATCCACAGTATCATTATCATCCATTAAAAATGAAATATAATCCCTTAATGATGATTAATATCCAGCCAGTGTTCAAATTTTCCCAACTACCTCTAATATTATTTTTACATTTTGTTTATTTGAACAGGATCCACATAAAAATTTATGCATGGTATTTGGTTGATATGTCCCTTAAGTCCCTTTGAATGTCTATATTTACTTTTTTCCCCTTACCACTGATTGGTTGAAGAAACCAGGCAATTGTCCTGTGAAGTTTTGTACATTTGAGTAGGAGCTGGCTGCATTTCCATGGTATTATTTAGCATGTTCCTCTGTCCTTTGAACCTCCTATAGATTGGTGGTTAAATCTAGAGACTTGATTAAGTTTTCATTTAATTTTTTTGATAGGAATACCTCATAAGTGGTGGTTTGTACTACCAATTTCATCACATCAGAAGCTATGTGATGTCTATCATTCTTTTTGTGCTATTAAGACTAATTGCTGGGTTCAAGTGTTAGCTTTAAGTGGTAATTATAAAACACTATTTTTAGTTTCTTAGTTTTTTTCTAAAGATTTTATTTATTTATTCACAAGAGACACAGAAAGGGGGGAGAGAGAGAGAGAGACAGAGACAGAGACACAGGCAGAGAAGGCTCCATGCAGGGAGCCTGATGTGGGACTCAATTCCGGTACTCCAGAATCACACCCTGGGCTGAAGGTGGCGCTAAGCTGCTGAGCCACCTGGGCTGCCCTCTTAGTTTTTTTATAATTGCCTTTTGTTTATGTCAGATGATATGGACTTTCTGTTTATTATAGTGATGTAAACTTTCTTTTTATTTATTTATTTTTATTTTTTAGAGAGAGAGCATGAGCCCGGGATGGGAGGGGCGGAGGGAAAGGGAGAGAGAGAGAATCTTAAGTAAGCTCCACACTCAGTGTGAAAGCTCAATGTGGGGCTTGATCTCACAACTCCAAGATCATGAATTGAGGTGAAATCAAGAGTAGGATCCTTGGGATGCCTGGGTGGCTCAGTGGTTGATGTCTGTATTTGGCTCAGGTCGTGAACCCATGATCCTGGGATCTAGTCTGGCATCTGGCTCCCCACAAGGAGTCTGCTTCCTCCTCTGCCCGTGTCTCTTCCTCTCTCTGTGTGTCTCTAATGAAAAAATAAATAAAATCTTTATTAAAAAAAAAAAAAACCGAGTAGGATGTTTAACCAACTGAGCCACCTCAACTTTCCTTTTAAGATAGATTTATTTAATCTAAAAAAGTGAATGCATTTAAAATGTTACATTAATAAGATAGGTAAATTTGGCCAAAATCATGTATAAGATGTGTGAATGGTTGAAGTCTGGGAAATATGGCTCTAGTACAAGACTTTGATTTTACCAGGGAGAAGTCCCTGGCCTTAGTTTGTGCTAGATTAGAGGCAGAGCTGGGGCTAGAGCTTTGGTCTTTCAACTTTCAGGCCTAGGCTCTCCCATGGAAAGTCATCCTCAGGGCAGAAAAACCTGAACTGGCCACAGTGTATTGAAAACCATCTTTGTTAAAAAAAGAAAAGAAAAGAAAAGAAAATCATCTTTGTTAAAAATGGATGTCTCCTCTTCCTGCCTCTGACCAGTGGGAGAAAAGTCCTCTGTTTTTGGCAAGGTGGTTCTTGCTGGGCCTCCAGAGTTACAATTCAGACACCCACCCATGTCCATTCTTCATGTTTGGACATGAAGAAAAAGGGGAATATTGGGCTGGATCTTTTTTTTTTATTATTAAAATATATTTTATTTATTTATTTATTTATTTATTTTTAAAATTTTTATTATTTATTTATGATAGTCACACAGAGAGAGAGAGAGGCAGAAACACAGGCAGAGGGAGAAGCAGGTTCCATGCACCGGGAGCCGGATGTGGGATTCGATCCCGGGTCCCCAGGATCGCGCCCCGGGCCAAAGGCAGGCGCCAAACCGCTGCGCCACCCAGGGATCCCATATTTTATTTATTTATTCATGAGAGACACACACAGTGAGAGGTAGAGACATAGACAGATGGAGAAGCAGGCTCCATGCAGGAAGCCTGATGTAGGACTTGATCCCGGGACTCCAGAATCACACCCTGAGCCAAAGGGATGATGCTCAACCACGGAGCCACCCAGGGATCCCGTGGGCTGGATCAAAGCCATTCCCTAAAATTTACAAAACCCCCAATCCCTGGTCTCTTTCTGGTAAAGACACACAAAGCAGAAATCACCAGGTTAACTGCTCTTTGCCTGCCCGTGTCTTGTCCTTCAAACAGCTATTTAAAGAAGACCCTATGGGGGCCTCTGGGTGGCTTAGTGGTTGAGCATCTGTCTGCCTGTGGTTTGGGTTGTGATCCTGGGGTCCTGGGATAGTCTCGCATCCCGTTCCCCACAGGGAGCCTGCTTCTCCCTCTGTCTATGTCTCTGCCTCTCTCCATGTGTCTCTCATGAATAAATAAATAAAATCTTAAAAATAAATAAAATAAAGAGGACCCGATGATCAAAGTAACCTGGGTCCTCCCCTGGCCTGTGGGCCCCTGGTACCGGTTATGTAATTTTCACCCCTGGATAGAGCTCAAAACACTCTCACAAACTCTGCAAGTGATTTTCTTGTCTCAGAATTTCATTCTGCTAAATTGCTTGCTAAATAAGTAGACTTTTAGCTTATTAATTTTAAAGTTAAAATGATTTGAAAAAAATTATACCGGTACACGGCAAACATTTAAAACCATATGAATGATACCCAGTGGGTTAAAAACAAAGTTCAGCTGAGTAAATTTGAAGGTCTAATAGGCTTTATATTCAGTGATTCATAAATTGGGCAGCATCTGGTCTAGCAAATAGAAAAGAGCTCCGAAGAGCTGGGGAGAGGAAAGATTTGTAAAGGCAGAAAAGGAAGTTTATTAGCAAAGAATGCATTGTTTCAGGCAAGGTCACCTGCTTAAGGGGACGGAAGGGGTCTGTCAGGCAGATTTCCTCACTAGTGCTGACCAGGTAATTTGAGATTAACTCATTAAAGGTTATGTTCCTGGGAAAAGCTGAAAC